GGAAGTTGTGTGTCATCATCACACGGGTGTGTGTGTGTGATGATGATGGAAGGTCTTAGAAAGCAGGCGGAAGTTGTGTGTCATCATCACACGGGTGTGTGTGTGTGATGATGATGGAAGGTCTTAGAAAGCAGGCGGAAGTTGTGTGTCATCATCACACGGGTGTGTGTGTGTGATGATGATGGAAGGTCTTAGAAAGCAGGCGGAAGTTGTGTGTCATCATCACACGGGTGTGTGTGTGTGATGATGATGGAAGGTCTTAGAAAGCAGGCGGAAGTTGTGTGTCATCATCACACGGGTGTGTGTGTGTGATGATGATGGAAGGTCTTAGAAAGCAGGCGGAAGTTGTGTGTCATCATCACACGGGTGTGTGTGTGTGATGATGATGGAAGGTCTTAGAAAGCAGGCGGAAGTTGTGTGTCATCATCACACGGGTGTGTGTGTGTGATGATGATGGAAGGTCTTAGAAAGCAGGCGGAAGTTGTGTGTCATCATCACACGGGTGTGTGTGTGTGATGATGATGGAAGGTCTTAGAAAGCAGGCGGAAGTTGTGTGTCATCATCACACGGGTGTGTGTGTGTGATGATGATGGAAGGTCTTAGAAAGCAGGCGGAAGTTGTGTGTCATCATCACACGGGTGTGTGTGTGTGATGATGATGGAAGGTCTTAGAAAGCAGGCGGAAGTTGTGTGTCATCATCACACGGGTGTGTGTGTGTGATGATGATGGAAGGTCTTAGAAAGCAGGCGGAAGTTGTGTGTCATCATCACACAGGGGGTGTGTGTGATGATGATGGACGGTCTTAAAAAGCAGGCGGAAGTTGTGTGTCATCATCACACAGGGGGTGCCGGACCACCACATTCTTTTGCATAGGCTCTTTCCGGTTCTTCATGCCTCTGTGAAATTGTACGGGGAATTAATGGAAACCTAAAACACTCCACCGGCTGAGGGTGAAGGGGGCTGAACAGGAATCTCCCCCCCCCCAGCACCCGTGCTGTTCCCAGAGCAACACCACGTGAGGGAACATCCCAGAATCTGACTCCCCTTTTCCGTCAAGTGACCACTCCTCCCCCAGACACAAAGCCATGGTCAGGGCTGTGAAGGGCAAAGAGCAGAAGAGGGTCTCCCGCAGAGTCCAGGGGTCCCCAACTTTGGGCCTCCAGAGGTTCTTGGACTGCAACTCCCAGAAGCCCTCACTTCCGCCTCTGCTGGCCAGGATTTCTGGGAGCGGAAGTCCAAGAACATCCGGAGGCCCAAGGTTGGGGGGCACCCCCTGCTTTAGACCCTCTGGGTGGCTGCCTTGGGTGTGGCCACCCCTCAGAGGCCCTTTGCTCTGTCAGGCTCGGCCTTCTTTTTCCTGCTGGCAAGGCAGGCACGAGATTGTGCAGCAGTTTTGGGCTATTTCCTGGCTTTTGGAATCATGGGTACAGAAGCACACAATTCCCCCCTCACACACACACATTCATAAACCAGAATTTTTTTTTTTTTGGAAGAATTAAATTCTCCAGATTATCGAAAAGACGAAGGCTTTTGGTTTTGTCCATCTGGGAAGGCTCCAGAATGATTTGTTTTTATTTTTCTCTCCCAAGGACGAGGTGAGACTCAGCTGATGCTCTCTGGTTTTTCTCTGGATGAAAAGACAAGAATCAAACTCCGAAGCTCCCCAAAAACTTGAATGACAGGTGAGATCAATTTCATTCTTTGGGACCAGAAGCACCCCTGTGTTTGTTTATTTATTAAACAGCAACCCTATCATTAGCAGGACGCTAATCCTGAATTACATCAGTATTTCAGAGAATTTTAGCCCCATCGCCGGAAGCATCAGGAGTGCTTGGAGGCCACCTTTCACCAGACCTTCCATGGTGCCTGGTGAGGGCAAGAGGGGCCACCAAGATGGGTGTGACAGTGCAAAGGGCTGAGTTGGTGGGTGTTTGTGCATTTATCAGGACTCAGGCATGGATTTTAGAGAAGGTGCCTCTTGCTTTAATCAAGTGGTAGATGGAACTCATGCACACACACACACACACACACACACACACACACATACATGCATACGTACATAAATGTGGGTTGAGGATTTCTCCCCTAAGGTTCCCACAGTGTTTAAAACATTTTTCCAGGATCTTTGTCCACCATTTCCCCAAAGCTTACTGAATCTGTTGCAGAAACATCATT